TGCCTTTTTTTTTTTTTTTTTACCTTGTTTAGTACTTTAGACCTCTGTATACTGAAGATATTCTGCTGGTTTTAAGGATAATTTAGAAATCAAAACTTTAAAACATGTCTAATAGGAACTTGCCCCAGCGTTTATCATTACAACTCAAACTCATGTAATGTCTATTTGGATTTTAACAACCAGGAAGAGCTAAGAAAAGCCCTTGGTTGGAAACCCTTCCAAAGTGTCCATTTAGGCTAGAGTTGTGCTTTCTGCAAAATGAAGCAATGTAATCCTTCCAGCTTTACAAAAACAGTTGCTTGAGTCTTTTATCAAGTTGGCTTTCAGCTCCGGCCGAGGGGAGTAATTCTTTGTGTAAAAGTGACTTTGGCGATAATGAAGAATAGAATGTGTACATGTGGATTTATGAACATTTAAAAATAATTTTAAAAATCTTTGCATGTGTACACTTAAAAAAAGATGCCTCACTTGTTCTAGATAGATTGCCTTAGGAAAAAGACATGAACATTTATGTCTTTGTAAATTTGACAAGAGGTGGTTTTTGGTTTCCCTGGCACTACAGGTTTCTGGTACTTTATTTAAGGAAAAGGGCCTCCGCCTAGGATGCTCACTGGCTTCGGTGTCTGCTGGTCTCTCTTAAACAGCAAAAACATTTTGTAGCCCCAGAGCTGTTGTGACAGCAGGCAGCGAGCTCAGAGCTGCTTAGGAAAACCAGCCCAGAGGCAAGAGTCACAACCATGCCTTTGAGCTTTGTGACTGCAGTGTTTGCTCCCCCTGGAAACGTGTGTGTGCGCGCGGGGGCGCGCATTTCCTTACAGGTACATAATTTTTTAAGTTAATTTATTTCGTACTCTTAAAAGAGAACAGGTTTCCGGTCACAAAATCAGAAGCCAGGCTAGGTATTTCAAGCAGGAAGGGATTTAATAGAAGGGTTTGCCCTGCGGCTGTGTAGGAAGGGCTAGAAAGCAAGGAGGGGAGAGGTCAGGAAGGACAGCTGGTGCGGAAGCCCCCCGACCGCTCCACAGCATTCCAGATCCTGTGGCCCCTTATCCCTTTGCCACCATGGGGCGTGGGGGGAAGCAGTGACAAGCACTGGCTGACTGCTGCAGCCACTGACCGCTGTTGTCACTGCCATGGTTGGAGCCGGAGCTGTGGCCATCGCCGGGAGAGGAATCCCCACCTCCCTCCCTGCTACCTTCTGATCTTGCACTAGCTCCCCCTGCTGGCAGAAGCGGAACAGAACCCTGCTGGCAAAGGATTCTGGGAATTGTAGTTTCCACAGCTCCAGCTCCCGGGATGCAGAACAGAGCACAGAGGCAGGGCATATGTGGCCCTCATAGCACTTTAGACGGCATCATAGTACTTTAGAAAACATTAAGTTATAGCACTTTAACCATTCAGACGTTTGTTTTGAATTAGTTTCATTTTAATATGAAGTGTGAAAAGTCATTTTGCCAGTTTCTCTTGTGGGAGTGAAAAGATAATCCGTTTTACGTTAAAGAATATTGTGCAGGTTAAAATAGTAGGGGGGCATTTTAGTTGACGCAATTCAAAAGCAGCTGAACACATGCAATAAAGCGATTGCTCTTGCTTGGCCTTGCTGTGCTCTCTGTGAAAGCTTGCCTGTATCCCTAGCTGACCCAGTGATCTGAGATACAGCTGGAGGAAGCAGAGTCTGCACTGTGGTATTTATATTTGACACTGGTTGGTGTTTTTCTGAAGCAAAATGTTTTCTCTGGCAGGGAAAGTACCTGTTTGTCTTCGGAAATTTTATGTACTTTTATTCTAGGTGCATTCTTTTCATGTTTAATTCCAGTGGGAAATTATTTCAGATAAACAATCATCTGCAAGTTTACATAAAATAAAATTATCACACCTTGAGAAACCAGTGCTTGCATTGATGACAAAACGCTCCTAAATGACCACAGTTGCTTCTACTACACACATCTGTCAATCCTTTTACTTTTTAAAATCTCCATTAATCTCAGCAACACGGGAGACAGGCCAGTGATGACTGTCCCCCACTTTCCCCCCAGCTATGTTAGGTGGCAGGTCACTAGCTGTAGAACCCAGGCAAGAGTTGGGCTCTGTATATAAATATGACAGTTTGCTTATGAATATGCATGTATGAGACGATTCCTGCTGCAACCACTTTCATTTTCATGCTCCAGTCTGCGGGGGCCTGCGGGGGAAGCGCCGACTGGACGTAGGCGAGGCAGCGCTGGGGGGGGCGGGGGATACTTTTAAGGGAATCAGTGTTCAGAGCCTCAGCTCGAGTGTGTTCAGGGTGGATCTGCGGGGCAGTGCGGGCCTATCGAGGGAGGCGGTCCTTATTCCTGGTGTCCTCCCGCTTTTCGAAAGGACCTGCCCCTCGCGTCTCACTAGGACACACTGACGGGAGCTGAAACCTGCGGAACCCACAGGGACACTGTGGAACGCTGGTTTGGGCGTTAAGAAAGTAATTAAGAAAGTTAATGACCCTTATGACTTGATTGAACAACTTTTTGTAAGTCTGGCGGTTGCCCTTTCTTTCCTTACAGCCAGATTGTAGGCCGACTTAAGCGGCGTGTGGATCGAGTGAAAAGTAGAACTAACTTTGATGATAAGATTGCTGGGTGAGCCTGGCATGCATCTGAAGGCGGCGGAAGGACTGAGCAACATCACTATGACAAACTCTCTCCATTCCCACTAATTTTTCTATATTGACAAGGTTTCTTGGCACTTAAATTTATTAAAAATGAAAAACAGGAATAGAATTGCTGTCGACCCCTAATTTGTTCTGGTGATAAGCAACTTCATCTATGGGCTACGTGGACCCGCAGGAAACGCCAGGCTTGCTTGACTTTCCTCTAGAAGCAGNAATAAGCAACTTCATCTACGGGCTACGTGGACTCGCAGGAAACGCCGGGCTTGCTTGACATTCCTCTAGAAGCTGAGAGCTGCACTTCCAACCAAATTTCACTGCTGTGTGATAATGCTTCTCAAAATTCATTGTACGGCCGGGCGGCTCCGTTGGTTGGAGCATCGCCCCGTACACCAAAAGGTTGTGGGTTCGATTACCAGTTGAAGGCCGTACCGGAGGCACCTAATTGATGTTTCTCTCTTCCGTCAATGTTTCTCTCTCTCCCTCTCTCTCTGAAATCAGTAAACATATCTTCTGGTGAGGGTTAAAAAAATATTCATGGTATCTTATGTTTTTATCAATTATGGTCTTAAAGTAACTGCAATTATAACCTAATCAGAAAACATTCTAATATTTAGAGACTACATTTTTAAATAGAAAAAAAAAAAAATTGCCCTAGCTGGTTTTGCTCAGTGGTTAGAGCATCAGCCCAAGGACTGAAGGGTCCTGAGTTCGATTCTGACCGAGGGCATATCCCTCAATCACAGGCTCAACCCTGGGCCCTGGTCGGTGCTCAAGCATGAAGCAACCAATTGATTTGTCTTTCTCACATCAATGTTTCTCTCTTTTTCTCTCTCTCTCTCCCCTCCCCCTTACATTCTCTCTGAAAAGCAATGGAAAAAATCCCCTCGGGTGAAGATTAAAACTTTTTTAAAATTAAATGTTAATTTGTAGACATAATTTATTATACACAAAAGTATGGTGAGGTAAATAAATAGACATTATTATTTACCTCACCACCTATTAACATAATACACATTAAGACATCAAATATTAGGTTTTAAGTATGTGAGAAAGAAAATAAGAATTTGAAGAGAAAAAGAATTGACGCCAAATTTTCAGGAATTGAAGAACTTGTCTTTACTGGGTGGCGGTGGGCGTCAAGGGCGTGGTGTTCAGACCACTGGGCACAGCTGAAGGAACGACAGAACACCGCTGCTTGAAATTGTCAGTATTTGTAGCACGCTAGAAATTGCACCCTTCGCAGTTATTGAAACTGACAGAGAAAATATTTATAAATCAATGTGAAAAGATGCCCGTGATCACTCTTTTAAATTTTATTTAAGGAGTATGTGAGCAAAAACGTTGGGAGCTCGCCGATCCACGCGAAAGGTAAGAGGTGTCCTGAGCCTTGTGCGCCCCTGTCTTGCAGTTCGACCTCGTGTGCGCCGACGCCTGGATGCTGGACCTCACGCAGGCCGTCCTCAACCTGGGCTTCCTGGCCGGCGCCTTCACGCTGGGCTACGCTGCGGACAGGTGACAGCGCCGCCAGGAGACGCTTGTGTCAGCTGCTGGAAAAACGTTCTCACTCAGTGCAGAAAGCAGCGCCACCTCCCCTTCCCGCGCTGGTTCCCTGGGACCCAGCCCTTTCCCCCTAAGCCCCGCTCCCCTCTCCTTGGACTGACCGGGCGCGGCTGCTCCGGGGTGGGGGAAGCGCCCGGGTCTAAGGTGGCCTCCCCCCTCTGTCCCCCAGGTACGGCAGAATAATCGTCTACCTCATATCCTGCTTCGGCGTCGGCGTCACCGGTGTGGTGGTGGCCTTCGCGCCCAATTTCCCCGTGTTCGTGATCTTCCGCTTCCTGCAGGGCGTGTTTGGGAAGGGGACCTGGATGACCTGCTACGTGATAGGTGAGACGCGGCCGTGTCTGCTTGGGAAGCTGGGTAGGTGGCCAGCGGTCAGCCCCTTGCCGGCGTGCAAGTGGTGAGGCTTCGGGCGGCAGCAGCAATAGTTTCTGCACACAGGAGGGTGCAGGGGCCCGATCCTGACCCTTTAGAAATTGAAATGCCGCCTTACACTGGGGGCCAAATATGAAATATCACAAAATACTGGATGACCACTTTCTACCACTGCCATACTATTATCACATGATTTTTTTGCTTTGCTTTATTAGAGATTAATTTTTATTAAAGTGTCAGTAGTTCCTTGAAACATTTTTCAGGAATTCTCTGTGGATTTCTGTGATCTGCTTTGCGATGACACTCCTTCTGTATAAGTGGGGGACTTTTCATCACGTCCGAGATGTGACCTGCAAGTGAGGAGTTCATTTGTGACCCTTTGCTATCTTCTGTAACTAGCAAGTTCGATCTTCTGGGGATGAAAGGGAGAAAGCCTCCCTTCGCCCTTTGCTCATGTTACTGGGAAAGTCCTGGCTGCCACCTTTGGCTCTGTGGCCAGTGGTGCCTGGACCGGTCACCTACGCTGAGTCATGGTGGACTTGTGACCAGGGAAATTTGAATGTTCCTCTTTGATGGTCACTCCAGAGCTTTGGGCCTCCGCTCTCTTCTGTTATGCTGGACAGTTCCTCCCCACGCAGTGCCCGCTTTGGAGACCCCTTGAAAGTCTTTTTATGGGGAAAAAGGAGAGAAAGTATTAGGAGGGCTGACTGTCGCTGGCTGGGGCCGAAGGGATAATTTTGAAATGTGAAGCATCTTTAAGGAGACCCACGTCTAGTGAATTTTAAAAGTCGTGATCTTCAGGCAAGAAGAAGGTGGCATATCCCAGGATGATCAGAGTAGAATCAGCGACAGATAGAAACGGATTCGGGCAGTGGGGGGAGGAAGGGATACCAGCAACAAAACTCCCCAGGATTTTTAAAGAAATATCACACACACAGAAAGTCCAGCACTGTGGGGAGAATTATCATTTGATAGAAACTCTCTTGTGATAGTGAAAAGATTTGTAGAGTCTCTAATATTCATAACGAATCTCCCGAAGACACTCTAATACGCATGTTTTTAGAGCAATGATAAAATCTAACCAGTTTATTATAGTTATGTTTTCATGATTACAATGACCTTCCAACACAGTGGTCATGGAAGCTTTCCCAGACCGGCACCTGCAGTCCCTGTACGCCCAGGAGGATGCTGGGCTGGGCGAGCTGAGCGTGGAGGGCCTGGGGGCTGGCGGGGGAGTGGGCGCAGCGCTGGGTTACCCGGGAAGCGCATCTCCATCGCGTCAGCTGCGGGCTGGGTCGGAGGGGCTGCAGGCTCTAGCAGGGCCTGGGACTCGGAGGGGCTGCAGGCTCTAGCAGGGCCCGGGACTCGGAGGGGCTGCAGGCTCCAGCACTGCAGGCAACAGGGCGGGTGCAGCGTCTCTGCTTGTCTCGTTGGAGCCCATCTGGAGCTTCCCAGACTCTGTCTTTGTTTCCCTCAGTGACAGAGATCGTGGGCTCAAAGCAAAGGAGGATCGTGGGGATCGTGATTCAGATGTTCTTCACCCTGGGCATCATCATCCTCCCCGGGATCGCCTACTTCATCCCCAGCTGGCAGGGCATCCAGCTGGCCATCACGCTGCCCAACTTCCTCTTTCTCTTTTACTACTGGTACGAGCTTGCAGTCGTTCCCGGGCTTGTTCTGGTTCTGCGGAGACGCAGTGTTGACGCTTCTGAACCCACATGAGTAGGAAAAAATTCAGGAGTTTGCCTGACATCTCCAGAACGGCGGTGGGCTTCGGGAACTTCTAGAGAATTTGAAAATTTATAGAGATTACTTATTAATTATTTGACTAATAGTTGTTATTAATAAAATACCCAAACACAAACTTATAAGTAGAGTGTTAGTTATATTTTATTTTACAATATCTTCATGAAAACTACCAGGCAAAACCCGGTGCCTGCCAGTATTTCAACACAAAACAAATGCAATGAAATCGATCTGCTTTTCTGTACACTCTGTGACGCAAATTATTATTGCTCGGCCGTCCTCTGAGGGACGAGATGCTAAGAGCATGAGAAGCTGGCAGAAAGCCACAGGCATATGCATCCCACTCGTAGTGGAGTGAACATATTTTAAGCATTGCTCTAATTTTAATATATGTCAAATAAGTTTACATAACTTGGGTCCTTCACCTTCTCCTCAATGTTCCCTCAGTCCCAGCTCTTTTCCTATGCGTAGTTGAGGACACGATATTCCAGGATAGCCTGGCCTTGCAAGAGCGACGTCGTATTTAATTGTTTTTATTACAAGCAATGATCCAATTATCAAGTGAGCATTTTTTCCTTCCACAATAAATTTGCAAAGGTAATCTGTGTTTTCGAGAGCCCATTCTAAATTCAAAGATTCTCCTCAACTTGCATCTAATGGCAAGATCTATTTTGATAGAGAAACTCGAGTCATAAAATTTTAGGTTTCGAAATTCCTACTCATAACTCAAAAATGCTTTCTTCTTGCCAGGGTGGTTCCTGAATCCCCCCGCTGGCTCATTACTCGGAAGAAAGGAGATAAAGCGCTAAAAATTCTGAGGAGCATTGCCAAATGCAACGGGAAATATCTCTCACCCAGTTACTCGGAGGTACTTTTATTTATCACTGGTAACAAAAATCATTAAAGTGGGTGGATTTGTCACTTATGGGCATGTTATCAAACATCTGACTAAGTCGTTTTTTAGTTTGACTTTAAAAAAAGGAAACCTTGGGAAGAATCGCCAGGCGTGTTAAGGCAGAAAGGATGTGAAGCTGTAGCCGCATTATCGTTGAGGTTCATTGGTCATTTGGTCCATATTTTAATAGTTGGACCCGGTTACTTGGATTATTATGCTTTACTTACTGTACCTCCCATTGTATTTAATCACTCATTCATCGTCATTGAACAAACTATAAACCTTTTCTTGACATTCAATCTAGCCTAAGGACTTGTCTTTAAATTTAGTCTCAGAAGTAGTATGTCTTTGAGCCAGAACTTGAACAAGAATGTAGTATTCCAGCCTTTGGACTTATATATGCTGGCTGTCCTGCCTCCTCTCCCTCCTTGCTTCCTCCCTCCCTCCCTTCCTATCTCTCTTCCTTCCCTCTTTCTTTCCTTCCTCTAGCAAAGACTTTTCGGTGCCTCTGTATCACTGCTCTAAGAGAAACTGGGGGGGATTAAAGGCTCATTTTTTGTCCTTTGGAAGATTTGATGTGCGGTTGAAGACGTAACACATATACAGGGTGTCCCTCAAAATGTATACACACTTCAACAGCTGACAGCTCAGTTCTGAAAATGAAACGTATTTTAATGAACACTGCCTCTATAATTCGAAGCGTGTGTCTACATTTTTGGGACACCCTATATTTGAAGCAACCCCTGAATAATTAGAGAATAGCATATAAAAGTAAATGGCCATGCTTCAGCTGCAAAGACTTAAGTAATACAGAATAACAGGAGGGTTATTATAAAAGGAGTAATAGAGAAGAATTTGGGGAAAATATCAACCTTGGGTATAAACCTTTAAGAACATGAGGTTGCTGACATTGTTTGCTTCGTAACATTTGGTTTGTTTTGATAGAAGAGTTCTGATAAAAATCGAGGTTTTGTTGGTTTTAGTGTCGCCTCTCAGCCCCCGCAGAACTTGGTCAGGTCTCTCCAGGTTTCCACCGTCCCCTTTCCCTCGCATTCAGCTGCGAGCAGTGGCCTCTGTGTTTACAAAGGTTGACCAGTTGTCCCTGTTGGAAGTAGATCATGAAGTGTATGGTAGAGACAGAACTTAATCTGTTTTAACCACTAAGACTGGTTGGTCCTTGTTGTTCCTGGAGCACAGTTAAACTGTGTGTCCCTTTTGGGGGGAAAATATTCCACTGCCTCTCAGCGTCTCTCAACACATCAGCCGTCCGTCTTCACAACTGGATCAAATGGGTAATCATTTGTACTCAATTTTATGAGCCAAGTGAATATTTTTGCTACTCGTTCAGCAGTATCCTGAAGACACTGCACATGTCATTCCAGAGCTAAGCATATGTAGGATCTAAATCAAGGTTTTAAGATTATAGCAAGAATAGCCCTGTGCTCCTGGCTTGTGAGATGAAACACATTAGCCAGGCATGTCTGTTATCACAAGCATTACTAAGAGGCCAGAGGGTGTTCCCAGAGCAGCTGCTGTTGCACATCCTGTGAGTGTCCCATTCAGCGCCACTCCCGCGGACTCACTGACCAACTTCTCATTTGTGAGCACCATAGAAATCAGTCCTAGAGAGCTGGCAGCCCCACGTTCCCCTCTTGTCACAAGAGCTTCACCGACCTCCCAACCCCAACCTGTTCTGTCGCTGGCACCAGAGGTCCTGGTCTACTTTAGGGGTCCTGAAGGACCTAGCTTAAGTGACCCAAGGATGCTCCATACTACGGAAGGTGCCCTAAATTCAGTATGCGCTGTATTACCAATCCCCTGGGCGTTAGTGAAGGGAAGGGAGATACGAGAAATGTCAAAAGTTCAGAAATAACCAAAGTAAGTAAAGCAAAGCAAAGTTGATGAATCACTTTAGTAATTAGTGATGACTAAGTAATCACAAGCAGTCATTAGTAAAAGTTTATTGTGCACACACCAGAAAAAAAGTTGCAAACTGGAGCACTCAAATCAAAACATGAAATGAGGTTTGGGGGTATATTGTTATAAAGCAGCTTATGTAGTGAGGAGGTGACTCAGTTTGGTGATTCAGATAACTACTGTGTGTGCTTCGCACTGATGGGTTATAATACCTGTATTACATTTTCTAAAATGCTAAGGAATCAGTGAGTAGTTATGGCGTGTCGACCTTAAGAAACAGTTCAAATTTTGCTTATAATTTCCAGAGGCATGAGCAAGAAATGACTCAGGTCAAGTTAGTCTTGCAGAATAAGCTAAGTAAAGCTTTGTTTGTATGATTAAACTGGTCTTGTCTGCTCCGGGAATTTTCAAGGCTGGTCTTCTTTTGTTTTCTATTTTAACAGAAGAAATAGGTGCAATGGATTTGATCCAACATTCAAGCAGGTAGATTATTCTGAGAGTCGGTTGTCCTGTAAATATTACTGGTTCTATTTCACATGGATGTTACTCATTTCTTGCGTGAATCACCTCTGGCTCTCTGGCTGACGGATCCCTAGTCTTTCATTTGCCAAAGCTCCTGGCTGGCCTCTGACTGCTGAAGAGGCGGCCAGAAGGTAGACATGCAGGTGATCGGAGCATCAGGCTCTCTGAATGTACCAATAGTGTAGCTATGATTCGCTGCAAAGAAAAACCCAAAACAAAGACCAATGTGAACAGGCAAGTGGGTTGAGCTCATAGCGAGTTCTGTAGAAAAACTGGAAAGAACCAAAGATGAGCGGTGTGTGAAACACGAGGTAGCTGCCGACGCAGAAGGAGGGTTCGCTGAGACGCCTAAGTCTGTTCCGCTGCCGGAGAAGGGTTTAGCGATTCAACACGTTTTTGGTTATCTGGTCATCAGACTGTGGTGGATTAGATTATGACTAAACACTCACGTCCCCTCATTTCCACTGGATGAAAATATCTGCTGGCTCCTTTGATGTTGGGCATGGCGATGGAATTTGCTTAGTTTTCATGGTGGACGGAATGAACGTCTTGCCCTTTGACCTTGGTCTTGGCCTTGTGGTTGCTTTGGCCAGTGGGAGGTTATCAGATGTGGCGCAGTCATCTTGAAATGTGCTTGTGTTTGGGTTTGGTCTCTGCACTTCATCCGTAGTCATCACGAGAAGAATGTTCCCAGGCTCTCTCACTGGCCGCAGAGACTGAGAGATACTTGGAGCAGAGCTACTCCAGAAAAGCTCCCCCAAACCTAGACCAACCCACAGAATGAATGCTTGTTATTTTATGCCACTAGGCTTGATACTGTTATGCAGCATTACTTATCAATAGTCAACCAATTCATTGACCAAACGGCCATTGTCACTTACTGACCTGGATTATGCAATTATATACTACCTGTGGGAGTTAACTGCAGCAGCAGTTTTGTTTTTATTTTTTTAAAGGATTTTAAAGGCCCTTATTCCAACAATCCCCACCCCTCCCCTACGTTCCTCCACCTCTTGTCTTTGTGTGGAATATGCTCGTGGAAAATTGTACATTACAACTCTAGCTAACAAAGAGCCTCTAGTACTACAGAACTGAATATGTTCATATTTATTAGTGATATTGTTATGTTCTATTGACCCAAAAAAAGATAAAGCTTGATTGTAGTTTCCTTATTTTTATGATATTCCTATACAGTTCATTGTTCATAGCTAATTTACAGCTTATTGAAACATAAGTACAGATGCTGCTCAACTTACAATAGGGTTATGTCTTGAAAAACCATTGTAAGTTGAAAATATCATAAGTCGAAATGCATTTAATATGTCCAACCTAGTACTGAACGTCACGGCTTAGCCTCGCCTACCTTAAATGAGCTCAGGACACTTCCATTGGCCTACAGTTGGACAAAACCGTTTAACAGAAAGCTCATTTTATAAAAAACTGTTGAATATCTCATAATTTATTATGTGTATCATTTTTGCATGATTATCAAGTTGAAAAATCTTAAGTTCAACAGTCATAAGTAGAGGAACGTTTGTACTGGATGTTACATTGACACTCATTCGTGCATAAACATGATCGTGGGCAGTTCCCATGGTGACATGTTTAGGTGACATCAAGAACTGACAATTGAGCCATGGCTGGGGGGCTCGAATGGAGCATTGTCCTGTACACAAAAAGGTTGTGGGTTCGATTCCCAGTCAGGGCGAATACAGGAGGCAACTGATCGATGTTCCTCTTTCTTTCTCTCTCTCTAAAAAAAAAAATCAATTAAAACATGTCTTTGGGTGCGATTTAAAAAGATTAAACAAACAAAACCCTCACATTTGAGCTTTCTGATCTCAAAGGGATCATCATCAATATAAAGGATCCCACTCTTATTTCTAAAATAGAAAATATTAGAAAATGCCAGGCTAAGTGTTAGATTGCCTCAGTTACCAGAGAGACCTCCAACTCTTAATGGCAGCGTGTAGTCAGTATTTCAATGAATTGTCACACGAGCACCAGTATTGCCACAGAGAGGGACTTTCCAGCCTTGGGAATGTCTGTTTCTGGCATTTCCTTTGAAAGGGGGATTTTGGTAAACACAGTTTATGTTCTTCCAAAAGAGGAACCACACCATGACCCTGGCTTCATGAAGCCCATGGGGGCTGTGTGGGATTTTAGTCCCATAACTCACTACACTGTTTCTGTTGACTATCTTGTGCAATTATTAGCTCAGACTTGGAACTTGAAAACTGCCCACATGGAATTTGTTTCAACAGATCTCAAGAGAGTGATTTAGGCCCTGGGAGTGCCTAACGGGCTCCCGTGCAGTGCGCGTGTCGACTGGGAAAGGCTTAGTCTAGAAAATGCTGAAGGATATTGGACACGAAGTCATTGGAAACGCCTGCAACACTTCCTCTTAAAGAGGCTAGTTTTGTGCTTGGACTCCATGCAGTGAATGGTGTCAGTTCCGCCAGCAGAGCCTTAATGTGACACATGGAATTGACCACTGTGATATGCACGTCACCACGTTCGTGGGAACTTAGAAT